CTAGCTCATGAACTACTAAAGGTCAAATAAATAATTTATGTATGTCTGTGTATGCAGAGCCTAGTTAAGCAGCTAGGACATAATTGACACTCAAGAAATGTTAATTAGGGCCAGTGAGATACCTCAGTGCACTAAGGGCCTGTTTAAGCAAAAGCAGGGACTGGGGTTCAATCCCCAATACCACATGCCACGCTGGCTGTACCCCCAGGTACTCTGAGTCTGCCACCGAGACCAGGTGTTGTGGCACATGCACGTAATCCCAGGGCTGGGGAGGCAAAAAACAGGAGGACCACTGCTGGTCTGAGTTGTGTAGTGAGACCGTGTACCAAACACATTTTAAAAAAAGAAGAAGAAATGTTAATTAAATAACATCAAATTGCCTGAACTTTAATTATATTATTTAAAAGTTTGGATGAACAGAAAGAAAATGCAGAACAAGAAAGCTTAAATAAAAAGTACAAAACCAAAGATTTAGGTGTCTTTGCCTACAACTCTGTCCCCATCTTTTCGGGGTAGTTTGAAAGTCACTCAAGTTCTCTACACATCAGTGAGGCATGAATTAAGACTCCTTCAGAGAAAATAAACTCTAAACAGCCTAGACAGAAACAGAGCCTCACAGATTGAAGCAACTGGGATAGCTAACAGCATCACAGGAACATCAGGGGTTCCCACTCTACTTCTCCCCTATGTTTTCTATGAGGTTAGGTCTCTTGCATTACAGGAAAGTCTTTTCTTGTGAAGACAATGGGCAATAGATACAACAGTCAGCAGGAAAGCACAGAAGGGGAAAGTGTCCGTTTCCCTCAGCCAACAGACATATCAGTGAAGGCTTTGATGTCCCTGCTTGTACTCTGTGTCCCTTTAGAGACCAGCCACTACTAAGAGGAGGGAAGAGATCTAGGACTGGTCAGTCCTAAAACATGAGACCAGTTCCGAGATGGGCTTAGGGGATCAAGTGAAAAAGAAAGGGTAGGAAAAGGATGCTAGATGGGGGGAAAAAGTTGTGTCACTCTACTCCCTAATATCCATATTTCTGCCTTTCTGTTCATCAGATTACTTTAAATACTACAAAAATTTTCATCATCTAAGTACAGCATTGTATAAACATAAAATTT